CTTTGTTTGGAACTCTGTATTGTCTGTATTGTGCTTGTGATATGTTGTAAAATGTTGTATGTCTGTTAATGTTTCCCTGCTTTTATCTTTAAAATAAAAAAAAGATACTTAACTATTGTATATGCTAAAATAAAGTTCAAGAATATTTATAAAGAATATAAAACATCCAGCATTCAAAATAATAAAATTTGCAATCTATAGAATACAATAAAAAATCAACATGAATATAAAGCATGAAAATAATGGAGGGGGAAAATTTAATCAATTTAAACTGACTTAGAAATGACACATATGATAAAATTACAAAAAGTACATTATAATATTGTAGTTATTATAATTATATTCAAGAAGGATGAAAGATTGAGTATGCTAATAGACACATGGAATATATGTATAAAAAACTTCCCCTAGAAGAGATTAATAGCATATGTAATACTATAGAAGACTACTAAATCTGATGACAGAGAAATAGAAATTATACAAAGAGAAAGAAAAAGAAAAACTATTTAAAAAGTGAACAGAGGCACTAGCATACAATGGAGACTATTACAATCTTTCATATGTACCTGGAGTCCCCAAAATAGTACAAAGAGAAACAAAAAGTATTTGAGGAAACAATGGCCAAAAATTTCCTAAATTTGATGAATTCCATAAACTCACAGACTCCATGAACCCCAGGCACAAGAACCATGAGGATTATATCAAGACACATCATAATCAAATTGCTTAAAACTGAGACAAAGAGCAAAACCATTCAAAGAATGTCTGGAGACAAAAGAAATCATAACTTGAAGTTGGGGTGTAGCGCAGTGGTACAACACACACTTCGTATCCACAGGGTTTTGAGTTGGACAATAGTACTGCAAAAAGAGGAGAAGGAGATGGAGGATGGGCAGAATCGCAACCGAAGACTGAAAAGGGTAGAGATGACTTTTGATTTTTTGGTATCATTTTCATATACTGTTCCCATGAGGACAACTGTGATCTTTAACTGCTATTCAGCACTCGTAAGAAATTAAACATAGCACATAACCCAAATTGACTATTACTATCTTAGAGACTGGCAAAGAAACCCAAAAAAAACAAAAACCAGACAACACTAACATTTAATAAGACAGATGCTTTAACAGTGTCCCATTTAGTCCTTCAACAACCAAAGTGAAGTCAATATTACTATTAAATCCATTTTGCAGATGAGGAACAAGGTATAGAGAGCCTGAGTAACTTATCTTACTCTCATAGGTAATGAGTGGTGGAATCAGGACTCGAATGCACAAGCAATCTGACTCCAAAGTCCACAGGTCTAACCACTACATTATACTTCTCTCAAACAGAGAGACACCCAAATCCACAACAATCCAGAGGCAGAATGAAAAATAAACCAGGCATAGGAATTACTCTAGATAAAAATTACAAGTATTTAAAGAGAAGAATGATAACATCTAGAGAGGAAAGAAGATAAAACATACTGGAAAGACACAGATGATAAAATTATTTTCTACATAATGCCAAGTATATTGTGCCAATGTGATCATCAGCCTAAACTTGCAAAAGTGTGAGAATATTCCAGTAGACTCTAATGGAGAGATTGAAAACTAAAGCAAAAGGAAGGCCATCTCTAAGAAAGCTCTAATCACTATTAGTTGTGTATGAAGTTGTTCTAATTTTAGACATTTGTTTCCAACACCAGAACATATTACAAAAGCCATCAATCTAATCATCAGACACCTAATTATACAATCAATAATAAAAGTCCTCCAGAACGTTCTCATCAATCTCCAGCGACAGACTCATGCCAAGGACACGAGCAACTGTGCCCAGAGGGATTGCTTCAGAATGGAGTGACACTCATTTTGTCATAATAACTTCCAAAATGCAGCACCTGATGGAACTTTACCTTAGGCGTCTCAAATATTTGTTCCAAATGTATGATGTGCTCATGCTTTACACTTTTTAGGATGTTCACCTCCCGTTCAAGTAACTTCACAGCAGAGCTTCCAGCCTTAATCAATGAAGAAACAGATTTCACAAATGACTGTTACTCTTACATTCCTCAATACAAAAGTTAAGTTATTTTATACTGTTTTCTACATTTCTTGAGAAATTTCTTTTTCAAATGATACCGGGCAGTTTATCCCATGATCAGATTAAATTAGGCCCCTTCTTTCCTTTGTTCAGTTTCAAATTCTATTTGATTTGGTCTCATACTACATTCATCTCGTGCCTGTTTCTATAAATTAGCTACAATATGCCACCTATCCCTTCCCCAGATTATTCCAGTTTTTAACATGCTTTTTGATATTTCCTTCAAAATCACATTAACTCTTTCATGTTAGCACAATAACAAAATCATCCAGGAATATTTATTGGAAATGTTGTTTTTATAAGAAAGTGTTTTTATTTTGTCTTGTCTTGTTTTGATTTAATTTAATTTACACATATCAAAAGAAACAGTAAACAATGAGAATCCACATTTGACCCTGCATTGTTACTTCCTGCTCCCTCTGTTTAACAGAGAGATAAAGAAAGGAACCCTACCTTCATTCAGACCTTGTCTTCAGACCAAATTAACCCAAACTTCATCTTCTGACATCTAACTTTTACCATTCCAGATAGTAAAACTAAAGACAGGAACATTTCAGGGTTTCAGAAACTTCACTCAAAGCATAGACAACTGATTGCCTGCCATGTCATCTAAGAAATTCTACCATAGGGGCTTTTTCTACCCTCACCATCACCACCACCCACCCGAATCATCAAGGCTACTGATACTAAAGTTGTCATTGCTTGAAGATAAGCACTGTCCTCCTTTATGGGTCTCATTTCCACACAAAAATATCCCTGAAAAAGGAAACAAAAGACCTAGTCCTCTCCCCACAGCCCATCCCCAGTTTAGGAGGATGTAATGATTCTTAAAAGAAAGGGACTGATCACAAAACAAAGATTATCTAATTAAAATTTTACCTAGGACCACCCCTGCTTCTAATTACCTTTACTCTTCAACTTTTAGTATTTTAGGATGAGGAGAATACTGACCATCCTCCTCTACTCTACCCGTGTAGGATACAAGCATATTTTAAGGTTAATCTTCATGTTTAGAAATAGTGACAAGGAGTGAATTCTTGTCTACACTAGATATAGAAAGTTACCATAATTTCTCCTAATATCCATCCCAAATCTGTTCCTATGTCCCTTCCCAAATGTCTTGATTGTTATGTAATACAATAATATGCTGTCCAATTCATATATTGACTAATAAATTTCATTTTACTATCTTAATTTCCCATAAACTCTTATCATCAATATATGTGTGAAACATTAATTACTAAAGTCAGAGACAGGTATCTTGTCTAGTGTACAACTGAATCCCTAACATACCTGACACCCAGAAGGCAACAGAAATAACATTCTAGCTAGAACTGTGGGATGCTATCTATAGTTCTAAAGAATTCTAAGAATTCTAGAAAGGTTCTTAAATGCTTTCTTAAGATTGATATGTTACTGTATTAAACTTTAGGGAGAAATTTGCTATAGTTAGATTTGTTTCTTTGTTTTGTTTTTTGGTTGTTTTGAGACAGAGTCTTGCTTTGTAGTGCAGGCTGGCCTTGAACTCATGCCAATCCTGCCTCAGCCTCCCAAGTGCTGGGATTTTAGGCATGCAACTCCATGCCTAGTGCTATAGCTTGCTTTAAAGAATACATAAAACCTACTATTTAATTTTATAAATGTAATATTTATCATCACAAATCTGAGAAGAAAGCACCATAATGTCGTTGTTTTGCTTTTTCCTAGACAAATTTTTTAAACCTGGTAAACTGATCCAAGTATAAAGTCTGAGGCCTTAGACTCTTTAAAGAGAAGGCAGTTTTTCTCTACCCTGATAGGAAATACAGTGAATAATACAGTGATTATAAATAAGAAGTATACTACATAGGCATGAGGGAAAGCGGCTCAAACTAAAGAAGCAGGCAGGATGGAGAAACAACGAATTGCCCAACAGTGAGGAATGAGGGAACTGGAAAAAGGGAAGGGTAGGAGAAACGCCTGTGTATCAGCACAGTACAGGGCAGAGCATTACAATGCATTATTATCTAAGACATCTGTAGCCCACAGCCTGCACCTATACGTACTGAGCACCAGCTTTTACTTTCAACTCACTCTGGCAAAATTTATCTATTTGGTTACACTGGTTATGTTAATCCTTCCATTGGCTTCCTCTAGACAGCACTTATCTACTGAGTTCATGAACTAGTCCCTCTCCAGGAGAGCAGAGAATGTCCACAATGCTCCGGTAGGACAGTCCGGGCCCTGGCATCCAGCATCAGACAGAGCTTGTGTTAGGGAGAAAGCTGTGTTCCCCCCTTTACCCTGCGCTGGCCCTGTGCCCTCAGCGTGTGCTTTCATAATAAGCCTTACCTTTTCTTTATTTACTTTTTTAATTGCCCACTTAGTGTCTGTTTCCTTGTCTGTAACTTCAAAGACCATTCCAAAACTCCCTTGTCCCAATATTCTTCCAAAAGTATAGATTTCCTAGAAACAGAGTAAGAGTTCCTTTATCTGTCCCTCTCTGCAATTCATCTGGTACTTAAAATGAACACATGATACTGACAGATACTGGGCAGTGGACCCAAAGGAAGAGATTCTTCTCCAGGGTAAAATCAAATAGAAGACATTGCTATACATTTGCTTCAGTATTAATAAATAGATCTTAATTAACCCCAAATAAATTTTGATTAATTTTTTAACATCCCCCCCTTTGGAGAGAAACCATAAAAGTCTTAATGGTGAAATGAGGAAAAGCTTTAAAGTATAAAAAGAAATCTCTTCCAACCTATAATGTTAATGAAATATCTTTGTGAGCAAAAGGACAAATAGAACATTAATACATACATATATATGTGTGTGTTTGCCTGTGTGTATGTATATAAATAACACATTCACTCAGAAAATTATTCCAGAACTGTGGGTGCTATACTACAGAACCAATACATATAACAATTGAACAACTTGTTTAACAAGTAATGCTTTTTCCTCATTTTTATTATCTCTACTAGATATCTTTTTTATTGTTTTATTCATTTTGTTCACAAAAAGCAGCATGTGATAGAAATTTTAATATAAATCAGCACTGAGAAGAAAATAAACACTACCCATAATTGTACCATCCAAGCCAAGAATCTTGCCGCTTACCTTTTTTTTTTTCTTGCTTATCATTTACCTTTTACTTTAAAAGAATGTGTCAATTTAACCAACAGCAGAATTCTGGTTCACATTGTAAAATTAAAAACAGGTAACCCATTTACACTTCCATTCCTGTGAATAGACTGGGAGGAGTCAATTTCCCCAACCCCAATCAACTCCTGAGTATTGAGCAGAGTGGATGCATTGTGCAGGAGAAGCTGAGCTAGTGCCTCTAGGTGAAGCCTCTGCTGGGTCTGGCAGTGAAGGCCTTTCCTATAGATACTACTCTATCATTGTGTGTAGCCATTTGCACCTTTGCCATGAAACCGAGAAATAAGCCACTCACATTTCCTACTGCTCACACTCCTTTCTTATTTTTCTAAAAGATTCAATGCCTATCATCTCACCTCCTTCCTGTAGGGCTTCCCTGATTAACCCTGCACCACAGTGATTGTTCCTTCATTTTTACTCCTTCAGCATGCACACATTGATCCTCAAACTCTGTTACTGTCTTGCTAATTGTGGCTCATTTTTTTCTTCCAAGATGGTATAGAAGGTCCTTAAGGAACCATTTCCTTTGTATCCCTTAAGAGACCTAGTTCCTCTTTATTCCCTGATACCACACAATAGCATAACAGTAAAGATCAAAAGTCAGGAAACTTAGATGATTATTAACAAAGTATGATAAAACAATTTTGTTTCATTATATTTATATGCAATTCCTATCAATATATTTTGTAACATGAATTAAATCTCAATTAAAATGGTCCTTTATCCTTTTCCCACAGGAAAAGTATCTCTTCATAACAATTTCCCATATTTTCTTGTGCCTTAAAAATGAAACTATTATTAATGTCTAGATATAGAGAACTACAATTTAGATACACTAATAAAATCCTGTACAAATAGGATTTTTAAAATGAAAAGAGGCTAGTTAGTTTTTAATAATTTAACCTTTTCTTCAATTGCTTTGATATCATCACACACTGCTAAATTTCATCACATACTGGTAAATAAAGAGAAAATGATTTCTTATCTCTAATAATTTTAAGGTGTTATTAATAAAGATAGTATATTTTTACTGACATAGAGAATATTCATGATATAGTGTGAAATGTGAAAAGCTTGCATGATTTGATCCCTTATGAACACATGTATGTGGAGGTGCTTTTGATGTCCAAAAAGATGTTCATCTAAATATTAAGAAAAGTTATATACAGGTAAAAGAATTGTGGATGATTGTAACTTCCTTCTTCACATCCTTCTAAATGTTCAAAATATTTAAAATGAGTCCATCCACGCTATGTGGGAAAAGAAGTGTGTACTTCGACTGTGTTGGTTAATGTTATTTCTTTTAAAATGTGTATATATTTAAAGGAAAAATTTTAAGAAAAACAATAAAACTGACAAATGCATGAAAAACAAATGTAATAAATATTAAATTTGCTATACCTGTCTGATGATTTTTATTTCCTTCAATTCTTTACCCACAGTTTCATTATTTTTACAATTAATACATTTTGCTTTTAGAAAAACTCTTACGGGTAGATTTAAAAGTTGGTAAATTTGTGGGCTTTTAAACATACATAGTTTGTATTTAAAGGGAGGAAATGTAAACTCTTTAAGTCAAAATTTCCCAGGATTTTTTCTCAACACTTCAAATAAATTGCCAAATATATCCTAAACTATTTTTAAAGTTTCTTAGCATTATTGCAGTTTTCTTCTTGTAACATTTCCTTTAATCTTATTTTAAAGGAACACATTTTATTTTTTTAAATGTTTCTAATATTTAATTCATATTTTACATAGTCATTGGAATCCTGGAAAGAATAATGCTGATATTGATCTAATCTAGGAAAGATGGAGGGGTCCACAAGAAAAACTATAGCTTCAGGTACAGTCGCCATGGAAGTGAACAGCTGAACTATTTAAAATCACCTGGCCTCTGTATTTTCCCGAAGTCTTCACAAATATTTCACAAATGCCTTTAAAACTAGCCAAGATGACAGGACCAAAATGTCTTCATTTTGTCTAAATAAAATCACCTCTACTTGAACCAAAGTCCATTTGGTCCTCCATAAACAGAATACAGTCTGCATTTTGTTTAGTAAAACCTTTGACATACTTGAAAATGTTAAAATTTTCCCCTTTCTTTATTTCTCTAGAGACTGATTTTTAAAATCATTGTTTCCATTAACAATGGCTTAGGAAAAAAACCTGAAAGTTCCTAATAGCTTCGTCTTGTTTTCCCTATATACCTCAATAGCCGCCGCATTCTCTATCCGTATGTGAGGAACTTTTCCTTCGGTAACGTTGCCTCGACCCCACTGCTGTTGGGATGGTTTTCTCTCTATGACTGAGGTTCCTAATGGCTAGGACAAAAAGAAAATTTGAAAAAATAATTTTAAGACACACTATTCTTGTTGATAAAGAACTCTAGATACATCTGATAAATTTTTAGTATGTGTGATATTTACTGTTAAAAAAGTGTACTGTTGTTTCAGATTCTAAGTCCTACATGATTCATTGGCTTATGAAGCTACATAAGACCTTAAGAATTCACTCAGTCCAATCTTCTCAAACCAGGCAAGGCTGCATGATAACCTGCCCAACAGATATATCAGAATTTACTTGATAATTCTTTAAAATCAACAGAGAAAGCAACTTCATAGTGTCCACAATCAGCATTTTTTCAAAACATAAAATAAATATCTAATTGCTTATATATAAATTGACCAGGCAGACATAAAATATGCTTTAAATGAAAATAATACAGTAACAGCTCAGTCAGAGACACCCACATTATACTGCAATACAAATCACAATAGGTGAGAGTAAAATGTGAAAAAAGTTCAATTTTGATGAATGAGAACTTGATTTTTCTGCTCTCTGTCTTCCAAGTTGTGTCATAACAGCTATAATTTTCCATACTGACTCTTTTTTATAAAGATGAATATAGACAAATTATTTCAACTGGTTATCTAAAGGTTGTTTATAACTAATGTAAAATGACTTGTAAAATATATTTGATAATCTAGCCAGATAACCAGAAAACATACATCTTACTAACCACAACCATAAATCTCATTCTGTATCAGTTGATGAAAATGCTCAAAAATTCAGATTTAATTAAACTCGGAAAAACAATCCTTTTCTGTATAACCCAAGATCTTGAGAAATATTTACTTTGGACAGTGGTTGGAAATATCAAACATCTAACTAACAAGTAACTTTATTCAACCGTTCTATGAGAAAGAAATGTTCTTTTAAGAGTTAAGAAGGCAATGATTAGCTTAAAAGGACTCAGGGAATATGGAGGAGGCAAGGAATGGGATAAGAAAATGGGCTGTCAGATTGTGTCGATGTGCTGAATCTTCAATAGTTACCAAGTCTTTTCCAGAAGTGTCTTTGCTGGTATTTTTTTCTTTTTTTCTATCTGGTGGAAAGAATAATTCTGTACTACCAGTACTTGATGTCTGTGACATTTCCACCACCAAAACTGGAGAAATGCATGCTTCACAATAAAGTCCGTCTTTCGGAGATGTAGATGAACAGCTGGTGCACCTTGTGGAGTTTTTATTCAAATTACTATCAGCCATTTGTTTAACTCTGCAGCAAAAATAACTTGAAAGATGATTCTGCTTTTCAAGGGAGAGAACCAGATCAGAAAAGATATTGTAGGTTGGTGGTAAGAATTGCAGCTTCTAATTGGTGAGGTCCTTAGGTTTATAATGCTCTAGATTTATATTCACACGGGAGGGAGAGCTGCTGAAAGAAAAGAAATCACCACTGAGAAAATTCATATCCTAGATATCAGTGAAAAACTAGTCATTTCAATCAAAAGCATTCCCTATGAACATGAAAAGTTAGTATTAGTAACACAATGTGACCACAAACCTGCTGAAAAGATGTGGTCATTTAAATAGGTCTTATTAAATTGAAGTAGTGGGTTATGAAATCAAATTTAGTGAATACCAATTTTTAATAAAACAAAATAGATAATATCAAAGTATTTGCATAAACTTGGTAAGTGCTAGGAAAATTTTAATTATACAAATATATACTATAAATGTTACTGTGGATTGTGTTAAACAAAAACCTAAAAATACCAGTGTAAAATATACATTACAACTGGGTGTGGTGGCACAAACCCGTAGTCTCCGCACTCTGGAAGCCTAAGGGAAGAGAATTACAAGCTCAAGCCCAGCTTGGGAAACTTAGCAACTCAGTGAGACCCTGTCTCAAAAAAAAAAAAAAAAAAAAAAAAGCCCCTATATAATCAGTTTTTGGTCCATTACATTTTCAGTATCCATAACAGATCACAAATTCTGACTTTTACTTTGAAAGCATGGTCCTTATGGCCATAGCCACAAGAGCTGTATCAATAAAAGAACATAAAATTGCATCTCACTTGTTCAAGAGACAGGACGTTGATGACGGCCTAAGACAACGGGTTGGTA